CAGTTGGGCTTACTGACACAATTAAGACAGCAAACTTTCGATTTCAATGTCCTTACCCCCAGTTCACATATATGTGGCCGTGCAGGCCGCATTTTGCGTGGGCACAAGAGCCCATTCATTTGAATGGACTCCTGTGCCCCGTGACACGCAGGGAAAGAAGTCCCTGCACTTCTGAAAAAGTAGCCCGCACGGGAACCTCGGTTCCCAATATGGTTGCGTTTTCCAGTGCTGGCGGCGTGCTATTAGAACTAATGGCACCTGCTCGCGGGGCCGCATTCCTCTGTGCGGGTGGTGCGGCTGCACAGATTTTCGTGTGGATCCGCAGCAGCACATATGTGAACCAAGCCTTAAAACAAACCGGTCATTTCCTCAGCCAAGTAACAGCTGCTGTACAGCAGGCTCCATAAGATAATGCTACGTGCACAATGTAGCCCACCTTTCCCATAATCCAATGGGATTTGTATAGGACAGGACATACTCAACATGTGACACTGTTCAGACAAATTGGGTTAGGGACCTCAGATTGTACGCCCCTTGAGGGTTAGGGACCTTAGATTGTACGCCCCTTGAGGGTTAGGGACCTTAGATTGTACGCCCCTTGAGGGTTAGGGACCTTAGATTGTACGCCCCTTGAGGGTTAGGAACTGATGTGAATGTACAATATATATGTAAAGTGCTGTGTAAATTGATGGCGCTACATAAGTACCTGAAATAATCTCTTCTCTACATGCGGTCAAAGTGCTAAAGTTACAAAGCTTGTCCGAGCAATTAGAAAAAAGGGTATGGAGAGCTGAAATGACACACTGCAGAGCTCAGCGAGGAGAGTTCTGATTGCTGATTAGAGGGAAGGGACACACAAAGCTCACAGGAACAGAGCTGAGGCTGTCAATCTGCTGAAAGTTCCTCTTGTCACCATTTTTCTCTTGGTGTCAGGAAAACTTGTTAGAAGTGATTCATGCCGATAGAAGGAGGCAGAAGAGAGAAATGACAGAACTCTGGATTGAGACAAGTACAAACTATAGAGGGATATGCTTTGCTCATATTTCATATCTGAGGTCTACAACCACTTTAATAGTTGTTTTCTCTAGATAAAAGGGGATTTGCGTGTCTGGAAAAAGTCAGTGTTAAATAAAGAAGTTTACAAAGTCTGTTGTAGTTCTGCCATTTTCTTCATTGGTTCACACAGGATGCACGCACAATTGCACAGGAAACCAGTGACACTGATGGGTGGATTTTATCATCGAATCTCTTCTATTTGTTTCTATTAATATAAGTGGAGATAACGCAATACATCCATTTACTGTATTTATTTATTAATTAATTAATTAAGTGCTGCATATTCTTGTTCAAATGTTTTTTTTAAATCTGCATTCCCGGTCAATATTTTGCACTGGTATGTGCACATATGAGCATAATTTTTAATGTTGATAAATTTTGCATATAGAATGTAATGTACATGCGAATGCACACAACACAAAATGACAAAGACACTAAAATTCCGTTCAGAAATGCTCAAACATCAGCACCGTGTGTAAGAAGCCTTAGCTTGGTGGCTGACCTTTAGGCTAGGTTCACATCTGTGCAGGTGGTGCCGCTGCGGATCCGCATGGACATCCGTGCAGCCGCACCACCCGCACAAAGGAATGCGGACCCGCTGGCAGGTGCCATTAGATCTAGTGGCAAGCCGCCCACACTGGAAAACGCAGCCGTACCGGGAACGGAGGTTCTCGTGCGAGCTGCGTTTTCAGAAGTGCAGGAACTTCTTCCCAGCGATGACACGAATGGGCTCAAATGAACGGGCTCTTGTGCCTGCGCGAAGCGTGACCCACACGGCCACATATGTGTGAACCTAGTGTTAGTCCTCATGCACACGGGACGTTTTTTATAGCGTCTGTTTTTGGCTAGTTAGCTCCCCAGCATGTTATCCTATGTGTCCATGCACACAGACCGTAATCGTTTTTTGGCTGGGAAAAAAAAAAAAAAAAAAAAAACTCACTTTCTAGGAGGAGTTTTTTAGCTGTAAAAACCAACGCTGAAAAACGTGGAAAAATGGTGCAAACCGGCATTTTTGGCCTTAAAAATGTTTTTTTTTTTGTAAAAAACCGCAAATGTGGAAAAACGCCGCTAAACGCTAATGCAAAAAAAAACACACATTTTTAAAACGCGACATCACACAGCTAACGTTACCAGCGTTATCAAAATCAAAGTGTGCATGGAGCCTTATTTCTAATTCTCTCTCCCAGACTTAAAAAAATAGAAAATGCTGTAAAGTTTACTGAGGATTTAATTTGTTTACACGAGTGTTACAGTAATCCCTGTTGTAGTATTATGCAAAGAGCGGTGCAAGTCTACAAGAAGTGTAAACTAATTTTACCTTCATAGGTTGCAGATCCTCTCATTTCAAATCATCACACCCACTAATTGCAGGTCCTAGCAGTAAATTACATGGGGACTTGAAAGTGATAGACTGGGGTGGTGGGTGTAACGCTCTACCATTAGCTAGTGTCTCTGTAAATGACAACCAAGCAGCTCTGACCATCAGACCGGCTCATTACCCTTCAAGTCCTATTTCAAAGAAAGCCAAAATGTTCATACCGTGCGCTGGCAATGCCTGGATCAGCTGCAAGCAAAACAAACTCTGTGCCATAATCCAGTACATGCACAGTTGGCTGCTGAACATAAACCAACGCTTTGCAAGTCCAATGTTCTCTCTCACTTTCAGTCGCTGTGACGTTGGTCAAAAGTACAAATAGACAAAAAATATTAAAAGACAATAACAACCTGACAGGAGTTCTAAGCCCCTTATAACTATCCAAAATAAAAAAAAAAAAAATCCAGGTTTTAAATTCACTTTAACCCTAGGTTCACATCTGTGCGGGTGGTGCCGCTGCGGATCCGCATGAAAATCCGTGCAGCCGCACCACCCGCATAGAGAATTGCAGACTCGTGGGCGGGTGCCATTACTTCTAATGGCACGCCGCCCGCACTGGAAAACGCAACTGTACTGGGACCTGAGGTTCCTGTGTGGGCTGTGTTTCCCAAAGAAGTGCAGGGACTTCTTCTCTACGGGGCACGGGAGTCCATTCAAATGAAAGGGCTCTCATGCCCGCACGGCTGCATAAGTGTGAACCGGGGGTAAGGGTTCATGTACACTGCAGATGACAAACTGACGTTACGGAGCTGTTCAGCGTTTTTTTTTCAGCAGCCCCTGAACTCTCCCTAATGTTTTCCTATGTGTCCGTGTACACATTGTCGTTTACAGTCGTTTTTTTGAACGCGCCAAACTTGCGTTCAGGAGTAGATTTTATCAGTGTTTCAAACGCCTGTAAACGCAGCTAACCGCGTTTATAAGTATTTGCGTTTAGAAGCGTTTTGAACTGTTCCATATCTAGATGCTGTCCGGAGCCTTTTTTCATCATCAGAAATGCATGCAAAGCGTTTTCCATGTATTCAAATGGACCCGGTACACCAGCGCAGTCAGTTCCAGGTATTCAAATGGACCCGGTACACCAGCGCAGTCAGTTCCAGGTTTGGCGTGAAGGAAACAATGGTAGAACACGCCGCATAATACTCATGATGGGATCCATAGTGACTACAACCAGAAAAGACAGGTCACCTCCACACATACTGCTCTCTCTGCTTCTGCTCTCTCTATTCCTCTCAAAATGTCTGAAATAGTTAATTTTTTTTACTGTTTTTCAGTGTATTCTGGGCATTTTGGAAGGTCTCCTGAGGTTATCTTTAAAAAATGCTTCTTCTAACCGCAAACGCGGATAAACGCGGTATGCAAACACGGCTAATCTGACGTTTTTTTAACCTACATTTTCCATCATTCAGAAGTGTTTTCCAAACACCCCGCATACATGGAGCCTAAGAGTTAACTGACACCAACCTCTGCGATACAACCCAAGAGCTGGTGTGCGGTCTGGTGGGACTGCCTCAGTGCCGATGCATGGATCCCAGTGCATCACACTGTTCACTTTTTTTTTAATCAACTTTATTGAAATGTGACATATTAAGTTCAATTGCTGGCCGCACGGTGCGAGGTGGTGGATTTGCTGGTGCTGGTAAAGTGTGACTGTAGGACCCAGGCACACCTGGCCTAAGCAACCAGAAAGGGGTCAGTCAACCACTATCACCAGACCAAGGAAAAACAATAAACATGACGCTGAGCTCTTGGATGGTTCGGACACACAAAACTACTGAAGAGGAAAGGTAAGGTGGGGGTTGGGCCACTTAAAGCGGAGTTCCACTCACCCTGTCAAAAAATAAAAGTCAGCAGCTACAAAAGCTGTAGCTGCTGACTTTTAAAAAAACAGCCACTTACCTGTCCCTCGGTCCCGTGGGTGTGTCCCCCACAGCCCGTTTCACCGGCCACCTGGATTCCAGGAGGCCGGCAACTTCAGTGTGGGCACCCAGCTGTGATAGCTTGCGGCTTCACAGCCGGGTACCCACTGCGCATGCGCGAGTAGCGCTGCGCTTCATGAATGGCCCTGTAGTCTTCTGGGATCTGTCACGTGTCCCAAAAGACTACAGGGAGGGAGGACACCTTCTGCTTCCAATCGCCTAGGCCAGGGGTAGGCAACCTGAGAGCCGCAGGAATAAGTTCCATCATGCCTCTGCAAGTCATAGCTGTAACTGTCAGTTTTTGTAATCTTTGCAATGCCTCATGGGAAATGTAGTTCCACAACAACTAGAGAGCCACAAGTTGCCTACCCCTGGCCTAGGCGATCGGACCGGAAGTGGGAGCGGGTACCTGTCAAATTCGGGGTACCCGCTGCCCCCCAAAGGTGCCAATCCTTAACGGGGAGCAGGGGACCAGTCCGTAAAGCAGAACTTCCCCTTTTGGGTGGAGCTCCACTTTAAGCTCTTCTTGGTTTGTGCTTCCTGTTAAAGGCGGAGCCAATAACCTCTCAAGTAAGCAGTCCTGGAAGATGATTGGGGGAAAAAAAAAAAAAAAAAAAAAAACCAAAACCACTGCACAACGTACACCGCCACAATGCAGTGGTGGTAACCAGGAACACCGGAAACGAGGCATTTGGCTTTGTCGTGCAGTGGGTCTGTACTGGAATAGCTGCCCAATGGAGTCCCATCACATTTGAATCCTAAAAGAGTACCTGTCACAAAACAAATATACAAGTCATCACCATAGACTTTCCCTTGCAAAATGCTAGATACCTGGCTGTCTGGTTAGAGTACTTCCCATGGGATCCGCTTGACAGCCAGGAAGGTCACATTTTATGAAGGCTGTCAGTAATGCAGATTATTTCTCTAATTTGTAAAAGAAAGGATGTCAAATGATTAGAGGAAACATATTTATGTCATTTATTTGAACCACGATAAAAGACAATCTACACATAGCCCAAGTATCATTAACGAATGCATGCTCCAATTTCTTTCCTAGCTAGCAAGGCTCATATGTGGAATGTGGCACGCTGCCTGCTCTACTTCCATTCTGGGGCATAAAGCAGTCAGTGAAAGTGTCAACCATTAGATCCCAGAAGCAGTGCAAATAGCAGCAGTTCTGTCTGAGGAGGGGGGGGGGGGGGGGGGGGGGGATGGATGTGTTTATTGAAATGTTCAGTAAAGAAGCTGCACAGAGCAGAAACAGGAAGCCCGGCATCCAGACCTCAGACATTTAACTCCTAAAGCAAGCGTCACAGGATGCAGGTTTGACACCTCAGAGACCCATTCTTTCATGTTATACTGTAATGCAAAATGTGAAACTCGGGTAGAGTATGTATTCGATCAGGGGTCTCCAAACAAGGGGCCAGTTTACGGACATTCAGGCTTGGGGGGGGGGGGGGGGGGGGGTTGGGGCAGACTGTGGTCAGCAAGAGTGAAAATATCCTGCTGTCAGTGGGGGTAAATAATGCCACATCTTTGGTGGGGGGAATAGTGCCCCCATCACTGGCGTCCGTGAGGGGGAATAGTGCCCCCATCACTGTCGTCCGTGAGGGGGAATAGTGCCCCCATCACTGGCGTCCGTGAGGGGGAATAGTGCCCCCATCATGGCGCCCGTGAGGGGGAATAGTGCCCCCATCACTGGCGTCCGTGAGGGGGAATAGTGCCCCCATCACTGGCGTCCGTGAGGGGGGAATAGTGCCCCCATCACTGGCGTCCGTGAGGGGGAATAGTGCCCCCATCACTGGCGTCCGTGAGGGGGAATAGTGCCCCCATCATTGACGTCAGCGAGGGGAATAGTGCCCCCATCATTGACGTCAGCGAGGGGAATAGTGCCCCCATCATTGACGTCAGCGAGGGGAATAGTGCCCCCATCATTGACGTCAGCGAGGGGAATAGTGCCCCATCATTGACGTCAGCGAGGGGAATAGTGCCCCCATCATTGACGTCAGCGAGGGGAATAGAGCCCCATCAGTGGTGTCAGCGAGGGGAATAGAGCCCCATCAGTGGTGTCAGCGAGGGGAATAGAGCCCCATCAGTGGTGTCAGCGAGGGGAATAGAGCCCCATCAGTGGTGTCAGCGAGGGGAATAGAGCCCCATCAGTGGTGTCAGCGAGGGGAATAGAGCCCCATCAGTGGTGTCAGCGAGGGGAATAGAGCCCCATCAGTGGTGTCAGCGAGGGGAATAGAGCCCCATCAGTGGTGTCAGCGAGGGGAATAGAACCCCATCAGTGGTGTCAGCGAGGGGAATAGAACCCCATCAGTGGTGTCAGCAAGGGGAATAGAACGCCATCAGTGGTGTT